ATATGTATATATATGTATATATATTAATTTCAAAATAGAACATGAAAATCTATTACAGACTATAACGTGAAAGCATGAATTTCAATTAAAAAATCCTACTGAATGAACTTTACCTCTTTTTAATTTAAATATGCCAAATCTTTTATTGTTTCATAATATCAATAAATAAAATATGTAGAAAATAACATAAAATAAAGTGTACACGCGCAGCAATACCAAATAAATTTGTATTGTTCAGGTATATAAATATCTTTATCAATTATAAACTTCATTGTCTTATTATTGCTTAATTGATGTTTATTCGAATATGTTTTTTATGACAATGCTTTGAGAACATATTTAATTGTAATTGTATATGTTAATTAATATGCTTTTTATTTCTGCATTCCCGGTATTTTATATATACATATATATTTGTGTTGAGGTACGTCATTATTTTATTTATACGCTCATTTTCAAATCGAAGACTTTAACATCTTTTTCCTTAAATGACTGTCATAGAAACATCGTGAACGAATCAACCTAGTCTTTATTTATTTCTTTCTTTTCCAATTATAAAAGATTTTAAAATATTTATATAAATTAGCTCTAAAATCGACGTTTCAATTTAATTTTTAGTTTATTTACAATTTGATTAATAACACAGGTAATTCACAGCAACGAAGATGCAATGTGGATGACAAAAAAAGCAGATATAATTTTATGTCCAACTGGTGATGGCCATCCTGATGTGATTCGCATACGGAATGCTCACCGACACGATATCGAGACTGTTCTTCCTTTTCTAGTTTTTACACCGCTCTGGTTAAATGTCGAAACGTGTAATTTGACAGTGAGAATTTTAATACCGGGCTTTGCACTAGCCAGTATATTGTATACATTGGTATATATGCAGCTTTTACAATTGTCTGTTCTTTGGAAACTTTCCTTATTTATAACATTGTATTGCATTTTGACTTTTATATGCACAATAGCTGCTGTTAAATACTCTATTTTTGTCATAGGTGTTTAATTAAAAACAAAAATAAATGAAAATTGTGATACTGTTGTATTATAAACAATTTTTGCAGAAAAATAAACGCATCTACGTGATTTGAGAGATGTCTCCTTTATTTGCGTGTATCCCATGAGAGAGAGAGAGAGAGAGAGAGAGAGAGAACATAAAAAATTATATTATTATATTTTCTAAATTCTCTATTTTACAGCACAAAAGATTTAACAAAAGAGTAGTATAGAATAATTCGGCAGAAGTTCTGCGCGAGAAATGTAAGAAACTATAATATAGAGTAGTTTAGTATTGTACTTCAGTATTGATCTTTTCAGGAATGATACATTAGGAGTAATATCGGCTAGATATCTCGGATAAATGAATTAATTGATAAAAATTCGAGCAAGGAAGATGCACGAGTTGTTAGAAAATTGACTAAATGGTTAAACAATCCGTAACATACTATTTCTGTGAAAGAAATTAGAAAACACAAAGCCACGCTTAACAAATTCGAAATAAGCGGTAATCGACAATTCATGTAAATGATACAGTAGTAGTTTTATAGCCAATAAGAGATATTTGTGAATTAGCCAATTACAATCAAGAATCTTTTGCATATATCATCTATAAGTCTATTAACTTCTTATCACTGTCTAGTTGTATAACAAGCGCGAGAGATATTATAGACGGACGAATCGGTGAGTTGAATGAGTTAGTACTTGGAACTATTTTTTATATGCAAATTACGTCAATTGCTTTACATCCAACTTCTAGCATTCGAGTTTTGATCTATAGAATTAGATTGAGAATCTTACGAAGAATTCAAGAGAAACATCTGTTATGCAATTTTTAACCTTTTACACTGCGTACGACTTTTTATACGATGCTCTTCTAGTTGTCGCTATTCTAAAAGCCTGCAGCACACGATGCATTATATTTCCTTGCTGGATTGCTTGCGTTTCAGTAAATTACTACAAATTCTGCGTTTTGTGTGGTACAATTCTAGTAATTTACTGAAACGCAAACAATATAGCATGAAAAACTGCATCGTATGCCGCTAGCTTAATAGGTCGCGGTGATAACGCATTCCGATATTTCTGATATCTATTGTGTGCAATCGAGACTTTTTGACTCTGTATTATATTGAATTTGTTTCGATTGTTCGGTGTATTTATTATAATATTCTATCATTAATCCTTTTTAGTTTTAAAAAAATTCAGTCACTTTGTCTTGAGAAAAAATCATTCTTTTTTTTACTATTCAGTTTCAAAAAACTAGCAGAGAGATGTCTGTCTTATTTCTATTACGTTTAAATCGCTTCAAATTTAAGATTTATGTGACATTATGTAATTTCAATAAATATATAACGATAAAATATTGTCTGAAGATGGCTCGATATAAGAGCCGAAACATGTAACGTAACGTAACGTAATGTAATATGTCTAGATTCTTTATATATGTATTCTTATTATAATTATTTTTAATATATACGTTAATTATTTAAAAAATATTTGACTCTTATGTGCCCGTTTAATCGTTATATATTTATTGTATTTATAAGAGTCCTTGACTAATTTATATCATTATGTAATTTTCCATATATACTCAGAACCCAATAATTCCGCGGATTGCGCTGAAAACATACCGTATAATTGCTAATCTTGTGGTCGTAAAATAAATAATATAAAATATATGAAATCTGTAATATTAAATAAATATGAACAAAGAGTTATATAATTACATAAATTAACACTATTATACTTATGTTGTGTGCTCAATTAGCCATGCTAATGCTATTTTGTTTCCTACATAATATTCGCAGAACAATGAATATATTAAATAAAAAACAGATTAAAAATAAAATTATATCTGTGTAAATAACTTGCAAGATTTTTTAAAGAACTATCATTAAATATATGTATTAAGAAGATAAATAATTTTCTGTTTGTAATATCAATACGTACAATTGTAAATTGTAATTTACAAGTACATAAGACAGTAGATTTAGCTTAATTAAAGTTTAAAATAAATTAATTTAATTTCTTTTAAATGTGAATATGTAAATTGAATAAAATGCGATAATGTTTAGCAATACACATTATTACCTCGTTATACATATATAATTTACATATTAATGTAAAAGCAGCAAAACGTTATCACGATTTCCCGAAACTCATTTTCATTCTCAATCCTTTGTCAATAAAAATAATTTATCAGACTCTAATAATATTGATTACATTGTTCTTTAATAAACTGTTGAAACGATTCTGATAGCATCAGAATTATTTTTAAAATTAAATCTCTATTTATAATTTTCTTTACCAAGAAGAAGTAGCAATATAATTTCTGCATAATTTTAGATTACGGGAAAAACAATTTAATTGAATCATATTTCATATGATGTAATAAAGCAGCAAATATAAGATTAATCTTGAGTTAAGAACATAATTATCTCCTAGGGATAATAATTTAAAAAGTAAGCAATCATATGCAATTATATTAGGTTCTAGCTTTTCTTTTTTAAAAATTACTGAGTATTTCTCAAAGACTAATGAAGCATTATCTCTTAAATAGTAATTAATTGTTCAATTTACATTTTGAGTAAGAAATATAATTATTACGTTGTTACACATTGTGCAAAAATACAAAAAAAATTAGCCGACATTTCTAATATTTCTTACATTTTATTTTCATCGTTTACCAGTTAACCTAATAGCAAATCTCTTGACAAATGACAAATTAGAGTTAATTTTAAAAGGTTGTCTAATTTTATTTATATGTATTATTAAAAATACACATTTAGTCTCATTAAAATTTCCTAAAAATAAAAACATGTGTTAATAAATTGGTATTCATTAAAATAAAGATATGATTCAGAGATAGGATTTGAAAATTATGTATATACTCCTGTGATTTACAATTCAAATGCATTACTATGAAGTTTTTATAGTACTTGTTTTAATTTTCCTTCGAAGTCTCGATTTAGATTATCAATATTAAAGATCAGTTCTTTTCCATAGCTTCCAACAGTAACTCGACAGATCTCATTCTACAGTTAGTTGTTAGAATAATTCGATGTCTTATTTTCAACTCTTTGCAAGGAAATAGTGACATATTTCTGAGAAAATATTGTGTAATGTAAACATAGTGATTGGTGTCTAAATAATAGTTTTAAATCACAAATCTTTTGAAACTTGTGCTTACCTGCCTCAGGAAATTGTGCGTATTTTAATTCACTATAAAATTAAAATAAAGAATGCACGGATTTTTCAGGATGCGATCCATTTGACACTACAAATGCTTTGAAGTATTTGATTGACCAACTAGAAGAAAGAATTTCTAATTGACCAATCAAAAAAATGCTTCGAAACATTTGTACATTAAGTGGACCATACATGTAATGTATATCTTTGAAATGTCTAAAGATTTTCATAGTCTATTCAAACTTTTAAGATTTTTTAATATAAGATTTCAAAGACATAAAGATATCTTACCAGAGATATTTAATAGTTGCGGTTCATATTCATTTTCATTAACTTTAAATATGATAGAATATTTAAAAAATTAATTTAAATTGTAATAAAAAAAATAATAAGTAATTTTATAATAGAAAACATATAGATAAATAAATTATGAAAGAGTAAATTATAATAAAATTTATATTATAAAAAAAGCTATATCTATATATAATACTTTATATATATATAATTATATGTACGTCCAAAATGACTCTTATTTCCAAAAATTTCGAAACCAAATTCTAAAAAAAAATTCCAAAAATTAATATATATTAATATACAAATTTTGTATATTAATATATTAAAGTTTCATTAAAATAATTCGAATAGTTTTTGAAATTTTTGGAAAAGATGAATTTTTTCCTTTGATATTCTGTATCTTTGAAATTCTACAGCCATTTGGAACAAAATACATGAAGTTTTCGTTTTGAATTTGTGTGAGGAATTATTCCTTAAAATCTTTTAGAGTATTTAACTACCCTGTATATAGTCAATACTCCTACAGCACCAAAATTGTAGCAACACTGCTGCAACATTGTAGAGATTTTGCAGCAATATTGCTGCAAATTTTGTGCTGTATAGGTAATATAAAAAAACATATAATATAAAATAAGAGAAAAAAAAGAAAAGTTTCAGAGAAGTCTTAAAAAAACACGAGCTAATCAGAGTAAAAATTAATAAATCTCATACTCTAACACTTTTCACATAAACACACGTACACATATTATCTTATGTTATACCAGTTGCGACTGAAATGTGAAGAAATGCAGGAAGTACACCGTTTCGCATAATGCGCATGATGTATTATTTTATTCTTTTTTTATATAATATTCGATAAATAACAAGGACAAAAATAAAATGATACATTACGCGTATTATGCGCAAAACAAATTATATAACAGTGAGTGCAATTATTTGTTCTCAACTTAACTTAGCATTCTCGATGAACTTAGGACCTAAGCACAAAGATGACTGTAACTTGAGTCGTGGAACGTAAGTCGCAGTTGTAGGTTGACCAAAACATTATGCGTTGACCTACGACTACGAATCACAGGTTTGTTCGCGTCGCATGTTCTAACATGCTCTAAAAAATGCTCCTACCATAGCATTTACTCACTCTAACGCGTTCGTTGAAGTGAGTAGGAGTTATAGCAGGAGGACATTGGAGCACACTGGAGCATACGACGCGAACAAACCTCACGTTTCGCGACTCAGTTACGACCATCTTTGTGTTGAAGCCTTTATCCTGTTTTGTGCACGACATACGTACGGTTTAACATACCTCCATTATACACGACTCCGATGTTAACTTCGATGCTAATCGGCTCGATCCGTTGGTACAACATTGGCAATCCCAACACACTGTATCACACTGAACGATTAAACAACGCGAAAATCCAAGACGAATTTCCGATCGCGCGCGACGCGACATTCAAACCGATTTTCAGACTGATTCAAATGACGTAATGCGCAGACCGTTGTGCGCACCGCGATGCTCACTTGATT